GATATATGGCCTTCGTTCTTGCTACGTGGCTTCCCACGGCTGTACAGATACGAGGTAATCCGTTTGATCGGGGGGCGCACGGATCAACAATTTTAACTCTCCACGCTTTTCCTACTTCATTTGCTCCTGTTAAACCCTGACACAGTACTACCACTTCAAGTCCCAGTCGCTCCTGGACTACTCAGCGGGCGGGGAGCCTGTGGTCCTCCTGCTAGGGGAAGCCGGAAGCGAGGGAGATACACAAAGGGATAGCGGAGGCGCCGGAGAGCGAGAGAAAGAGGAAGCGACGGACTGTCTCCCAAGCATCCTAGCGAGTAAAGTCGTCCCAGTGCAGGCTGAAAAGGCCGGGGCCAAATATGGGATGGTGCAGGGGGTTGGCTGGCTCCCTCTGCCCGGCCGAGTTTCTTTCACGCGCAAGCACTTGGAGGCCCTGCGATTGGGGAGGGAGATATTGCGGACCACGCAAAGCCGCCCACCTTTCTTCTTTTGTCACGGCGCGCACGAGGTAAGCATGCGATTGTGCGAGGGGCGCATTCAATAGCTTTGCATGCTATCCTGTTTATTTCTTACCTGTCCGCCCCACTGTTCTTTATCGCTCGCCTCTCGCTCCAGTGGGCGATGCTTTATCACCCTACCTCCTCAGCGCACCCACCTCCGCGCAAGTACCAGGACAGTCTGCCCCTGCGGATTTCCCAAACGACCCTCAATGGCTTTGTGGAAAGCCGGCCCATCCGCTGCACCCACTACGACGCCTTCCGCTTCTTCGCACCCGAGGCCCGCCCTCTCAACGTCTGGGGCCAGGACTTGAGTGAGGCTCGCTCGCACGGACAGCTCGCGCACGAGCAACCCGGCTGCCTCCATGCCAACATGGATTTGTTCAAATGGGCCGTGAAGTTGGGGCCTTACGCGCCCAGCGACTTGCTGAGACAGACTTTGGAATTGGCTGTGGCTTGCCGGGTGGTGGATATGCGTGCTTCGCCCTATGACCTCAGCCCTCTAGTCTTGCCGGTGGGAAAAGGGCGCGGCTTGCCCAGTGGATATCGCTTTGATGCGTCGCCGATCAAGATCGAAACAGAGGAGGGAAGAAAAGAATATCAGGCGGAGCAACAAGCTCTATTCGATAAAGCCCAGCCGCTGCGAACGCGGCTATTGAATGTATATGACTTATTCTTCCGAATGTGGGAAAGCGAAGAAGACCCCAAAGTACAAAGTGAAGAAGTCTGAGTCGTTGGTGAGGGGTTTTGGCATGGGCTATCTCATGTGCTATCTGTCTTGCTGGCTGATGTGGTCTTTAAGGTTGATTTTACGACCAACGCCTTCCTTATCCTGGATGATAATGGAAAATTGGTTTGATGCGTTCCATTTTAGTTACGGCGAGCTCGGACGCATGCTTCTCACAGTCGTCCGAGTTTTCTGCTTTTTACGGTGTGCCGTCACGGTGGCTTGTGCCCCGCGGGCTGCCTCCCAAAGCTGCAACGTACTCGCAAAGCTTGACACCTTCCAATGCACTTCGTTCATTTCCGTTCGAAGGCATCTGACGCGTGTACGTGCTTGCATCCCAATTTTCGCTGAGAAGGCATTGTGGAATAGACAATCGTCGTCTTAATGTTTTCCAAGCTGGGAGGATGGGCAAATCATCGTTCACTTTCATTTCCTCAGTCAATACGTTACCTCCTCCAACATACGCACACACGACTGGGGCACTGTTCTCATCAAAATTGTTACAGGCAAAAGAGATGACTCGAATTTCTCCTGCTCCTTCCCATAGCTCCTCCACTTCCTCCCTTCCAAACCTCGTTGGGTGCTCCTCCCACTCCTCGACACCCCCCCCCCAACTCCCTCCTGCCTCCCCAATGACGCCGATGAATAAGAAACAGTCCAAGGGCTTGTCTCCTGTACAAGAAAAGATGAAGAGTCATGGGAAAAGCAGAACCGGAACTCTGCGTATTGTGATCAAAGGGATGAGAAACTTGAAGGCAAGTGTGATGCGATACATGCCATTGTGATCAAATCGGGGTAGAGTTCCCGTCATGTGTCCAACATATGTAATATAGCGTTATGAATTCCATAGTCTCAGGGGAATGAATCAATCTCCAAGAGTCGTCTTTTTTATTCGACGCGTCCGCATTCTTTTTTATTTTAATCACAGCATCCATCCTTCGACTTGCTCGGTCGCGCCCATTTACGTCGGTCATGGGGCTCCGCTTTGAGCCATTACGTCGTCGTGGCACAGCTCGGCGATTCGCATTCCTGGGAAAGTCCGCCTCAATTTCCTCCCACGCAGGTAGCCCCTCTCTTTAAGACAGAAATAATTTGGCCGGGGGTACGCTACCCCTCCGAGGAACCGGTGCGATTCTCACTGGAGTACAAGGACTGCGCTGGGAGAAGTATGGGAACCTGGCGTACCATTCCACTTTCAGGAGAGCAGTGGTCCTCGCTACCGCCTTCCACGCGAACGACGCGATGGTGAGGAAGGGGGAAGGGACCATGTTCTCTTTTAGTCCCCCCTGTGCTGGCATCCCCGAGATGATGATGGCGAGGTATTAGTAAGGCTCGGCATCTTATGAAGTCACGCCTCAGTAATTTTGGGCCACATAACCTCATCGCTGTCGAAAGGATGGCGGTGAGCCCCTCAATTTTTTCCTCACCTCAGTCTCTCCTTGCTCTCTGACCGACAGGCTCCCCCTCTTTACACAACCGCTCCCGTCCCATTCCCGTGGAAAATATGCGGGAGAGTTGTTGTGCCACGTTCATTTTACCGAGGACCATTTACGGCTTGTTTACCGAAAGCCATGGCGGCTGTTAGGCTGCTTCCTTTCTCTTCCTCGCTCTTTCCTTCCCCAGACTCTCCAAGACGAGGGCGATGCAATAATAGGGTGGCTCCTGAGCGGTCTTATTCTCGCGTCGCAATATAACGACGCCTCTTCTGCCGCCACTTCGTGCCTGAACCCGTCCGACCCACGCCCACCTGCTTTGAATTTCCCGTTTCAATTTGTTCTCCTCGTGGCCGTCTTTCTCCTGTCCGCGTCCGTCTCCCTCCTTCTCGCGTGCTTGCTTTCCCTTGGCCTGTTCCTCGCACCCACCACAGTCCTTTTCTTTACGGTGTGCGCATTAGCGATTGGTGCAGTGGGTATGCCCGCTGCGTCCTGCCTATTCTTCCTGCTCTCTTTCCCCTCTGCAGGAGAAAAGGTCCTTCAGCCATATGTAGAGTGGGTGTTACGCTCTGCACCTGTAATAGGGTATTTCTTGGTAGAAAAAGTAGATGAGGCGAGGAAAGCGGATGGCTAGAAGCTTTTGTTTCGGACACGGGTTGAAAGGATGTACCACTGCGTCGTACGCCCAAGCCTCACATGAGGAGAAGAAAAGACGAATGACGTCCATTGTTTGTGAGTCAACTGAGCTAAATTTTGTTTCTTGCACTTGTTTTCGACACGCAGTCGAGAAATTGTGGTGGCAACGGAGGTCGGGATGCTTGCGAGCCCAAGAGATCGAGCACTGTGAAATTCGCCGTGTAAAAAAGCCATTCAATGATGTCCTCTACCGCTTTTGAAGAGAAATTTGCCATATGACTATTTATAAATCAAATGTAATAGAATAGAAAAAAATGAAGAATAAGAAAGAGAAAGAACAATTTTACGGAGTTTTCAAAATCGAGAGGAATTGCGGGTACTTTCCCGGACGCGTATATATTAAAGGGGCAGTTTTAAATCCTTCGTTTTTCAAAATGAATGAGAAAATATAGACAGGAGTGCGTAATACCTCGTGCATTTCGCATGTTCGGCGAACTAGTTTCCGAAAAGCTTGCTCTGAAAGACTAGAAGGCATGCTTGTGTGTGATACGTCTCTCGTGTCGCCATCGCGCCTGAGAAACACCGAGTGACTCCCAGACGGGGAGCTTGATCCTCAATAACTCTGTGCTCAAGCTGCTGCCAAGGAATTAGCGGGTCTTTCCATGCACGCATGCTCATACATATCCATCTGCACAGGGGAAACGTGCCCAAGTCGTGAGTAGATCGGCGCGGTGGCTTTTGTGAGGAGAGGATGTTGAGCGCAAGTTAGGCGATGAGCTCAATTGCACATCAGAGAAGACCATGAAGAGACCAAGCGTGCCGGCTCAGATGCTGCTTCATTGATGATGATCACGCCTCTGGAAAACAGCTTTTTAAACCCGGGGAGCGCGCGTCGAGTGGCTCAGCATGCGGCACACCGCCCCCAGGGTAGGCGGAAACGCCGGTCGGGTCCTAGACTTGGCATTGGCAGACTGACTCTCTGTTTTCTCCTTTTTTTGCCCGGTCTTCTCCTTGTCCTCGCCAGTGCCGATTTTGTCAGTGGCGATGACAGTAATGCCCGCGCTCCAGATCCTTCCGCGCTTCCTGTCATGCACGAGGATGCGCCGGACAGTCCTCCTTCTCCCCCCCCGCCTCCGCCCCCACGCGCCTCCACCGACCAGCCCCGAAGTGACGACGAAGCCCTCCTGATAGTGGGGACTGTGGATGGCTGGGTGCATGCCGTCGACTCCGCAGGAGGTGTGGCCTGGTCCTTCGACTCCGGCGCCCCCCTGGTCACGTCCTACCAAGGGTACGACCACGAGCAGCCTTCCTCCGCCCCCTCGGCCCCCCCCTTCCCCGTCCTAATCCCCGGCGTGGACGGCAGCCTGCTCGTGCACACCCCTGGGAAAGGCATCCAGCGGCTGCCCCTGACGGCGGGACAGCTGGTGGACCGCGCCCCCTTCCTGGCTGCGGACGGGCGGACTCTCTACACAGGGGCGCGGAGCTCGGAGGCCCTCATGATCGATCTTGACGCGGGCACCGTCGTCCAGCGGTTCTCAGGCCCCAGCGCCGAAAAAATCGCCCACATGATCGACCCCCGCCTGCACACCCCTACCCTGGCGCCCGCTCCCTCCCCGCCCTCCGCCTCCGCGCCGCCCTCCCCCCATCCGAGCAGGAAGGCGAAGCGGCGGCAGTTGCTCTGGCTGGGCCGCGTCGAGCACCGGCTGCGGGCCGTCGACTCCATGTCAGGCCAGGAGCTCTGGAATCTGACCGTCTCGGA